AAAGAAGTCCATGGTTTGTACATTAAAGACTTTGCGGAGAGAAACTGAAGGAGATTTAAACAAATAAGAAGTTGTATCCCATTTGTAGGTTGAAAAGTTCAGTCGGAAGTTGAGAAGTTGTTCTGTAATACCATAACCTCAGGAGGTTGTTTATTGAATAGAATAAGTACAAAGCTATTGTCTGTGGAGTACTGAACCACAAATGGAAAATCATCATCACATTCCCTCTCCACAAGGCTCAGGGACCATTTCAAGAGAAAGGGTGGAAAAACTTTAAGAACTGGAGGTTGGAGAGGATCCAAGCAAAACAGTCTCTTTTGGGCATAACAGGATCATTGAACCCACGAACTCATGGCACCTGTAGCTGTCTACACAGGATCTGTACAAGAGCACGCCACTCAACATTCTCACAGGAAAGGTTAGGGCCTCAGGAGCCTCCACCCCTAACTCGGGAACTAAGGACAGCTGATGGCTTCTTGAGAGAAAGAGTCAATTGTCTTTAAGGGTGTGGCCCCCAAGGTCAACCATGCTCTAGTGGATGGCACTACACCCTGGCATATATAAATTGGATTGGTGGGATATTAAAAGTTGGGGGGCATGAGCCAGGCATTGGTGGCTCACGCCTTTAATCCAAGCACTCGGGAGGCAGAGTCAGGTGGATCTCTGTGAGTACGAGGCCAGCCTGGGCTACCAAGTGAGCTCCAGGAAAGGCGCAAAGCTACACAGAGAAACCCTGTCTCGAAAAACCAAAAAAAAAAAAAAGTTGGGGGGCATGAGGTTGGGATGAACAGGGGAGGTGGGGTGGACCTAGGAGAAATTAGACAGGACTAAAGGATAAATACATTGCAGATGCATATGAAATTCTAAGAATTAATAAAAACTTTATATTGAAAAAAACAATTCTAACATCTCTATTTATATGCAAATGCAAAGGACCTAGAATAACCAAAACTATTTTATAAAGGAGAAAAATTTGGAGGACTCAGACTGATTTCAAGATTTAACACAAAGCTACTGTAATCTAGAAAGTGTTGCATTAACATAAGAATAGACATACAGACTAAGGGAACTGAAGGGAGGGTTTGGAAACACACCTTTGCATCACCTTTTCATTTTCATCACAAGTGCCAAGGCTATTCAACGAGAAAGAATTGGTTGTTTTCCCAGCAAATAGTACTATAACAATTGTGTATACATATGTGCAAAAATGAAAATGAATTTAAGTTCATAATACTACATAAAAGTTAACTTTGAACTGGCTTAGACATAAATACCAGCACTTAAACTTCAGAATTTCTAGAAGAAAACATAGAGAAAACTTTGTGACTTTAGGTTAAGCAAAGACATGACACCAAAAGAATGAGCCGTGTTAAGATGAACCTGATACACTTTACCCAGTCACAATCCCACAATCCTCTGTGCTTCTGCCCCAAAGGCACCAACAAGAAAATGGACAAATAAGCCACAGATCTGAAGGAAGCATTTGCAAATCATCTGTTGACTCAGAATTTGTGTATACAATGAGCTTTTGTAATTTAAGAGGGCAAATAGGGTGTTGATATAGCTGTGACAGAGACTTGTCTAGCATTTATCAAGCCCTGGGTTCAATTCTCAGTATAAAAACACATGAAAGAAAAGATGATAAATAGTCCAATGTATAATTTGGAGAATATTTAATGATATATGTTACTAAAGAAGTTTTGAATACCAATAAACACATGAAAACATGTAAAAAGATCAGAGATATGTGGGTTAAAACCATGAAAAAGTGTCAGGAAGTACACTTTCAATAGGTTGACTTTACTAAAGGTTTATTAAATCAAAGGTGAGAAACAATGGGCAAAACCTGGGAGCTTCAGACATTGTTATGGTGTATTTGCTGAGGGACTATAGAAGCCAGCCATTATGGAAGCCGTCTAGACAATTTATTAACAGTTTAAATATATTCTTTTTATATAACCCAGCAATACCATTTTTGGGTATCTACTCCCCAAAGTGAGAACATCTGCATAAGCAGACAGTTGAATTCAAATGTTCATAAAAATATTATTCATAAATGCCCAAAGATGAAAACAACTCAAATAACCACCCACTGTGAGTATTGCCACCCATGAGGCACTTTCGAGAAAGGCATTCCCACTGAGGGTCGGTATTTGGGTACAAAGTGACTAATAAAAGGTCCATACCATTGAACAATAAAGGCAATAAAAGAAACAAACTTTTCATACATGTGTATCTGTTAGGTGATTCTCAACAGCATGATGTTAAATAAAACACTATATACTATATGACGTTAGTCATAAAATATTCTTGAAAGGTGAAATGATTCAGAAAAGCAGATTAGTGGTTCCTCAAGGCTGAAGGTGGGAGAGGAGACAGGTGACAAACAGGTCTGAGGGACACGGGATGAAGGGCACTCTGGGAGGAATGGTGCTCCTGTACAATGATACCATTTTGAAGAACTCAGTGACGTCTATACTTGCAATTGGCAAATGTTATGGTATATAAACTATACCACATGGTATATATTTAATAAGTTAAATATATCCTTCTAGTCAAGACATTTTAAAGGAAAACATACATATGCATGATGTCATTCCATCTATATTAGACCATATGTTTTATATATGCATCACCAGACTACATACTTTCTATAAGTACATATACAAAACTATGTTTTCCTCTAGGAAAAAGATTGAAAGTATAGGTAGAACAGAAAATTACTTTTCACTGTATGCTGTCTGAATTAGTTACTAAAAATATTCAACTGCCTGCATCATTGCTTTATAAATGAAAATACTTTGAGGAACTTTGCTCATCTGAGTGAGACCATAAGCACTTCTGAGTGGCCTATGACAAGATAATCAAAATGAATCATCACACAACATGGTGCGGGCTCTTATTAACTTCAGAGGAGAGTGAACACTGTAGGAATTCCAGGAGCCTCAGTAGGTTGACAAGGACTTTCAGATTCCACAGTGCTGCACTAGTGAGAAAGGTAAAGCATCACTTACCCAAATGAACAAAATGCAGACGGAAGTCTCATCATGAGAGGACTGGGTAAGTGAGCAGAGAGAGCAAGGTGAGTGATCCGAGAGAGCGAGGTGAGTGAGCAGAGAGAGCGAGGTGAGTGAGCAGAGAGAGCGAGGTGAGTGAGTGAGCAGAGAGAGCGAGGTGAGTGAGCAGAGAGAGTGAGGTGAGTGAGCAGAGAGAGCAAGAGAGTGAGTGAGCAGAGAGAGCGAGGTGAGTGAGTGAGCAGAGAGAGCAAGGTGAGTGAGCAGAGAGAGCGAGGTGAGTGAGCAGAGAGAGCGAGGTGAGTGAGCAGAGAGAGCGAGGTGAGTGAGTGAGCAGAGAGACTGTGGGAGGGGAGGGAGGAGAGCAAGGCTGCCTAGCTTAACACATGCATGTACACACACACACACACACACACACACACACACACACACTAAAATGTTTCCAGAAAGGCACAAATTACAGTAACAGCAAGGATTTCAAAGCATCTTCCTGTTATGCCACAATTTAAAAGAAGCCATTTTATAAAAAATGTGTTCAGATTTCTTTCTGTGAGCCAAACAATGGCTACAATACCGCGATTTTCAGCTATACCACTTAATATTAGAAATATTGTCCAAAATTTGATTTTTCAATTGAACATTAGGAACATATGGCTGCTTAAATTAGAAATATTTGCCTTAATCTTAAACAAGCAATTCAAGAAGTCAAAATACACTGTCAACATTTAATTACCAAAATTCACATGCCATTTTATAACAATGCCATAAGAAGGCAAAGTGTATGATTATTTTGTTACCATATTAATTTTCCCTTGGTAATGGGAACTTTGTGTAATGTTGCTCACAAAATGCATAGTATTTGCTGAATCAATAATGTAATACTTCCTTGAAGGGAAAAAAGCCGCAGAGAGGCCAAATAACTCATAAATGGTACTTCTTTCAGCTCTGATTTCTTTTACTTGCATTTTAAAATCACAGTTCCCACGCTGTTTTGAGCGCTTGAATAGGCAATCACATATGTTTAGCGACATGGGTTTTTCATGCATGACTACACCACGGTACTGCTCCTGACCCTTCTCTGCTGAAGCTTCATGATCAGTTTAAATCCAGCAGACATATAGTGAGGCATGCACCTGCTGTTACCATCAGGTGAGATGGCATTGTAACCCTGCTGTGACAATCCCACAGCTGAGGATCAAGGACCTCAGGTGCTGAGTCCTATTAACTGATAGGGAGGGAAATCAATTGTTGGATGCACCTGGTCCTTCACATCAACAGAAGTAAGGAAAGGGCCTTAGCTTTGCCCCGTTAATTTTCTACAAAGACCAAGAGGGAAGAGCAGTAGGGATTCAAAGCTCCTACCACTCTCTTAAATTGTGTTCCATGTTCTTCTTAGAGTCCCAGTCCTGACCCTGTCCATCACTTTCTACCTGGTTCATGGCAGACATAATTATCCACGGTGGCGGATAGTTGTGTCCCATAGTAGTGGAATATTCCTATTCACACTTATTTTATCCGAACCCGGCTCCCGGGGGTCCTTATGAGGATTTGGAGGAATGGGCTGGCCTCCTCACTGCTGGCCTGGAACCCACATACAATCCCTAGTATTGCTTCCTTTAGAAAAGCAGGCTTCTCAGTAAATCAACAGGCATGGACTGAGTTCTGCAAACTGCCACATCACTGACCCTTTGTGACAGGATGTAACATGTCCCTAGCTGGGACCCATTCTTTACCCTCCACATCCACAGTGCTATGTTGGTGAGACTGAAGTCCTACTATCACAGTGTTTAATATAAGTCAAGTAAAGACACATTACAAAAATTCAGAAACCTGGATCCTAAATTCACATTTTTCTCTCTGCTTCTTTTAAATTTTTTGTAAAGGCATGATCTTATGTTAGCCTATAGGAAACTTTTGTTTGAACAATATTTGTATAAAGAGTTCTAATCTACGCACATCTACTAAACACATCCATGTTTGTCTTACCTCCTCGATGGATGATTAAAGAAGTCTCACTTCCAATGGGGCAGTCCTTAAGTATATCCACGACTTCTGTATGGCTCAGGTTCTGTACATTCTGCTGGTTGATTTCAACAATGAGGTCTCCTTCACACAGCCCAGGGCATCCCTGAATGTCAAGTATTTGTTTCACCCGCTGTCCCGTGGGACTGTCGGCAATAGTGAAGCCAAATCCCTGGGCACCTTTCACAATGGTTAAGGTCATAAGTTCAGCTTGAGTGGCTCCAGATGAAGCCATAGACACATTGTCGTCATGGACGGGTGGTGGATACGTGCCATCGAGCTGACCCTCAGCTGGCATGGAGTGCAAAGAATGAGGTGGTCGATCTGTAATATCTGGAACTGACTGTGAGGTCCGAGAAATGTATTCCAAATATGTTTCATAGTTATGTCTTCCATTGACCATCACTGGTGGTGGCCTCTCCATTATTGCAAGGGGTGGCACCATGCTGTTAGCAGGATCTTCAGGATCAAAGGGCAAAGGGTAGCCACGACACAACACCAAGTTGACACTCTGACCAATAGGAACAGACTGGAAAAGTTTGACAACATCTGCATGAGTGTGTCCAAGGACACAAACTTCATTAATATAGACAATGACATCACCTGCAAGGAAAAAGGAGAGATTGACAACATGAGGTAAGTTCAATTAACATTGACATAGAGAAATGGAATTATTTATGAGAATGCTGAAAGAGTTCTCTGCTTCTCAGTAAGCAGTAAGAAATCAATTAGAATAATACTTCAGTTCTCTGTAGGTGAGTCAAGGTTACAAAGGTCTGCCAACAAGTAGAATGGTCAAATGCTGAAGAAAAGAGCCACTTGGTTATTCTTGAAGCTTGGAAACAACTCCATACTTAAGCTCAGAAAAAAAATGTTAGAAGAATTTGTACTTTGAAGAAATATACGTTTCTGGTTTTTTCTTCTTTCTTTTCATTTTCATTTCCATTTTAGTGCAACTAAGATCAAAGAATGTTCAAACTGTTGAGAAGTGATGGCCATGAATTTTGGATGAAAAAGAAAGCCCTGATGTTTGAAGGTTTGGGTACCACATTCCTCTTTGTAAAGGTGCTGTGAGAATGAATGAGATGATGAAGGAAAAGAACTTGGCGCAGTGTCTGAACATCGTACGAGTGCAGTAACTTTGGATGGAGGGCACTTGGTACCTGGCAGTCAACAGGAAGCTGCTATGGACTCATTCTCTTTCTTGGAAAAATTAGTTTAGCAATGGTATTTGTTCTCTTTCCCAAATGAAGTATCACAGGTTTATAGAGGTCCACTGGTTAGAAGCTAACTTTATGAATTTAGAAATGCTATGAATACAAACTATTCATTATATAATATAGTCATTAAAATGATTCCTTCTCCTTTAAATGCAAAAGACATGATTGTTTGAGATAATTGTTTTAAGATTTCTTAAATTATATATGAATAAAAACTTTATTTTTGGAGAATGCTTCTATCATGGATTGGTATTTTTTGTCCTCATGAACCATAATACTTTAAAATTGAACTTGTAAATTAAAATTGTGCCTGATGATGCTGGGAAGTATATGAGGATTGCCCAAGGAATAACTCAATAGACATCCTTTTATTTTGCAAGGTAATTTTGAACTGAGTCATGTGAGTAGCCAGGAATTTCTCTCTGAGATAACATTGTCTATCAAGGTTGCAAACACCAAAAAAAAAAAAAAAAAAAAAAAAAAAAAGAAGAAGAAAATAAATGTTTTTAGGTACATTATATAAAATGTCTCTCCAATGCACTTATAAATGAATAATTCTATGAGCAAAATAATCCTAAGTAAAATGGTCTCAACATCGTTGGTTTGACTAATAGTCACAGTTCCAAAGACATAGGCAGAAAGGCCCAAGAGATGTTATCAGAGGATCCACGGTAGACTTGCTTCTAGAAAGTGCCATTGCTTATGATAGTCTGGAAACACACTTCCACAATCGTGGAAAGAGTGCTGATGCATTGACCTCACACTCAACAGAGTTGAAGTGTCTCTCCCTTCTCTGTTATTAGGATTACTTACTTGAGGGGAGCAGCTGGGAATGCCTTGGCATGATTTTTAACTAATTCTGTTCATCTCAGAGTCCTAGAAAAATACCAGAGCCAGATAGGCCATCTTTCTCCTCCTCTACCCTTCTCCACCTGACCTCTGGCACTGTTTGGTGCTGAGGATCAAACTGAGGGGCTCTAGCATGCTAGACAAATGTTCTACCACTGTGCTGCATTTGAAGTACTGACCTCTTCTATTCTTAAATGTAGTCATAATCCATTTCACTTACATAAAAGGTTGAAGGAGAAAAACTATCCAACTTGATGATTAGTGAATTGCTTATATTAGTAGAAACCTCCACTGCACCTATTTTCTTAGTTGTATCCTCTTATTATATCTTCTAAAAGTAACTATTGTCTTGCACCTCAAGCTTGATAATTGGAAGCACTTTACATTTTATGTCATACTTAGGAAATGCTATCTCTGAATAGCATTAAATTATGAAATAATGATCATCCTTAAAATGTTTTGTGTATTTTAAACTTTTTGTAAATGAAATGTATTTTAATATTCTGTAATTTCCTAAAAATGTACCTATGATAGTCATGGATTTTAATACAGGTACTTCTAGTTCATTAACTCTTATTGTATCTTTTGGATGGCCATATTATTATTTATTAATCTTTACCTATTATCTCATTACAAGTGTTTGGATACTTCAAAGACTACTTTGTTGCAAACTTCTTTCATGGATCCTGTGACAGAGGGGGAGTGCTTTGACTTTGGCATGGAATGGCTGGCCATAAACCACATGCAGTTTCAGTTTTATTAGAGAATAGTAAATGGCTAATAAAATAGGTCACATTGATTCAAATTCCTACTGGTAGTGTGTTGGAACTGTCATTGCTTCTCAACTGACACAATACTTGGTACTCTCAGGTAAATCATGATTTTGATTTGCATTTCCCAGATTGCTAGGGAGGACAAACATTTTATGTAGGTTCCCTCTTGGGTGCATCGTATCTCATCCCATCCATCCATCCATCCATCCATCCATCCATCCATCCATCCATCCACCAATCTATCTATCTATCTATCTATCTATCTATCTATCTATCTATCTATCTATCATCCATATACTTATCATTCATTCATCCATTCATCTACCCATCCATCCATCTCCTATTTATCTATCTATCTATCTATCTATCTATCTATCTATCTATCTATCTATCTATCTATCAATCTGTCTTCCATCTATCTACCTATCTATCATCCATCTATCCATCCATCCATCCATCCAGCTACCTTCATTCTGGCTCCAACATTTTTTATGTGTTTAGGGGCTGCCTAGTATAGTGTGATAACTTAGGATAGTGGGTTCCAGGCCCATCATTTACTAGGAATTTGACTTAGCACAAGAATGTGATCAGATCCCTCTAAAATGATGAAGAAACGTAATACCAATTTGGGAAATAACTAATAATGAGATCATATAGGTGATAAGGCTTGTGAGCTGCATGTTTTCATGCAAATATAGTTACTATTCCTCTAATTATTATTTGTCCTTGGCAGTATCCTTCTGTAAAAGTATGATGGCCCAATTAAAATATTCCCATCACAGTCATAACCAAATGATGGTAGAAATGATCATTTCTGAGTGGTCAAGTATAAGGTAGGAAGGTGACAGATGCCACTTTACTTCAAGGCTGCCACTAGCTTTAATCACAGTTGACAAACCCTCAGTCCCCAGCGCTTAATCTTTCTCTCTGCTCTTCCGGTCCTCCCCAGGTGAAAGGGACTGGATTGCTTCCGGACTAAAGAGCAGTTATGGTAATTGATGTTATCTCTTTTGTACTCAGCAAAGGAATGAGAACAACTACTTATTGTTCTTAGCAAGACTTCTTTTAAACCTAGTTTATGTGTCATTTCTACTCCATAGTTTTTCAAGTCATCAAAGAAGCAACTGATGAAGAATACTGCAGCATTCTAGGTAAAAACAGTTTTCTGAATGTAAAAGGTAAGAGTTCAGTTATTGTAAAACTATCTAACACCTTGACAATACTCAACTGTCCACTTTATAAAATATATAAATACCTAGAATAATGTGTCATATCAAAACTGTTGTACAAGGTGATACATGCAAACATGTGCTTGTTTAGATAGCATGGACGAGACAGGTTATTTATAGACTGTGCTATATGAATGTCAAAATAGGCACTTGGCTTGTGTCATCCCATAGTGTTCCAAGCCAAGCTCTAAGATAGACTGAACTTAAGAGCACAGACAGGGGGACCAGCTCTAGCGCTAACCTGCTTGCCTATTTAAGAAGAATAATTGTAAAGGAGTCAATCTCTGCATCTCCTGGTTTCTTCTTTTATAAGCCAGAAATTAAAACTTTGCTTTCGTTTCCTCCTTTTCAGGTCTACTGTAAAAATGAGATCTTGCTGTGGAAACAATTTTATCAAGGGAAGATTCTCCATACAAATACAAGCATGAATTTCTTTGGAAAGCTAAGCACATCTTTTCATTGCCTGGAAGGTTGCATTGATTGCTTGATTAGCCATTCACTTACAGCCCTATTTAAGACTGGCAATTCTAGGGATATTGACATAAGATCAGATTGTTGTGACTTATGTGTGTGGTGACCCCATCGGTGTGGCCTCACAAAAACCTGATTCCTAATCATGGGGTTTTCATGTACAGGAAAGGGAGAGTACCGTTGATAGAACAAGGGAGTTTAAAGCTACTGTTATATATGAAAAAATGTTCTAAAATAATTTGCTTCTTTGTTAGTCATGGAGATAAATATATAGTACTGGATATCTCCTGGACACCTCATCATTTTGGGGGAAAAAGGAGAGCACTCTTGACAAAGCATTGTTTAAATTAAAGTTATTTTTATAAGCCCCTCTACTCCCACACCCTTTGAGTCACTATGGACTAAAGGTTCTTCCTGTCCTGCGTCTCTCATGTTGCTATCTGCTTCCCCAACTTCCTTGGACCAGCCTAGAACGATTGACTTCCTGACCAACGCTCTTCTCACAGTCTACTCTCTTAAGTTAAAACTACTTGATACCCACACCTACTGTTTCCCACTCTTTACCTACAGTCTTTTGACCCTGTCTTCTCTACCCAGCAAATCACCATCTTGATATCTTCACTGTTCACAATTTCTACCTTAAAGTGATATCTCCTATTCCTCTGCCCTCTCATTTAATGGATAAATCTGTCTCAACTTATTCATCTCTGTTCTTACCTCTTCAAATATGTATTGAACTGTTTCCAATGAAATTGCTGCTACCATATGTTTGTGACTTGTAAACCTCAGATATAACTGTTTCATTGGTATTCTGCCTCTTCCAAGCTTTCTGTCCAACATACAAAGTATTGTATCAGTACTATACAGGAAATTCTTTACATATTAGGTAGATTCCCATTGAATAAAAGATGGGAGTAGTTAGAGGAAAACTAGAAAGATCATAACTGAACTTAATACCTCCTCATTAGTGTTTCTAAGTTCTTTCTATCAAGTCAGAGGTTTTTGATAAAAGAAAAAAATTTTCACGAATCATATCCATCCTACCAATTACATATACTCTG